CTAGCATGGTTATTCTCATTATGAAGTGATTGATTATCTTCTTCGGCCATATTTTCTGAAAATGATGAGGATACCCTAAAAAGTCTACCACTTGATGTACGTGACTACACTCTTATGCACGTGTAGGAATAGAATAAAAGAAAAAAGAAAACAAAAAAAGAAGAAACAAGAGAAAAGAAACAAAGTTATATACAAGAAAAGTGAAAAGAGAAAATAAAATAAATATTATAATTTATACAAAACTTACCTCCCCAGCAACGGCGCCAAAAACTTGGCACGACTAAAAGATTGATGTTTTCTCCCAAGTGCAGGAGTGTCGAAGTAATAAATAACCCGGCAAGACCGGGGTCGAACCACAAGGAGGTTAATTGTACAAATTATAAATAACAATAATACAACAACAACAACAACAATAACAACATTAGCAATAATAATACTAATAATACTATTAGTAGTAGTAGTAGTAGTAGTAGTAATACTAATAATAATAATAATAATAATAATAACAACAACAATAATAAAGAGAAGAAGAAGAAGAAGAAAACTTGATGAGAACTTTTAGATGGAAAATTAACGTAAGGATTAAATAATGATAACAAACAATGTCAAGGTTAGAGGATTCACTAATGGTATGTCAAACAAGTATAGTATAAACTCTTATTATTCAATTGGAAACCACACACAAAGGAGGTTCCAATCAGATTATAGATTATTAACATGATTACATTAGTCATATTATTTGATTAATGCTAGTACTTATAAATCTCGTTGATTAGTACTTAAAAGTGCATTTTTATCATGGTTTTATATCATCATTTTGCACTTGAAGTATCAATAACTCCTTAACCAAAGCATGTTTTATAATAATATATCTAATAATATAAGATACCTTTTATTTGTGGTAAATGTTCATTTTAAATGCAGGCCTATCACATAAATGAAAGGATTGATTGATGACTTTAAGAACTTAAATTGCAAGGATAAAGAGATGGCCTAACTTAGAAAAGAGATGTCGGTGCAATCCAAACCAGAACATTATTCGGTAATTGGGTCATATATGAAGCTATATATCTCAGATTTAGTTCCAATTTATATGGATGGAAAGGTAAGACATAGGCCTACAACTTTCACATGGAGCCTAAGATCTAAAAAGGCCATTTTCAAGTCCAAATTGTAGCAACAATAAAGAAGCCCGAATCTGTCTTCCAGCCCGAGTACTGGTCAGTATTTTGGCCATATCTGGAGTTCTAGAAGTCCAAATGAGCTGAATTTTTTACACAAGAAACTGAGACAATTTTCTACAACTTTCATGTTTGAAACTGGCTCCAATTTTGACATTATCAATGAAGTTTGGGGCAGACAAGAGAAGATAAGGATTGTCACCAAGTCAAAAGTTGGTCACCCACAAGTATAGTATAAACTCTTATTATTCAATTGGAAACCACACACAAAGGAGGTTCCAATCAGATTATAGATTGTTAACATGATTACATTAGTCATCTTAGTCGATTAATGCTAGTACTTGTAAATCTCGTCAAGCATTCATGATTATAACTTATGTTAACAACAAATCAAGTTCCTTTCATAGCTTAGGTGTGGGTTATACCATACAGTATGAACTATAAAAGTGTCAAGCATTTGTTGTACCAAGTGTTTATACAACATAAATCAAGATTAGTTATTTAACAAGCAAAGTATTAAAGAGTGAACAAGATAACAAATACAAAACATGTTAGTATCAAACATTAAAGTCCATATTAAGTTTACACTATACTTATTCTTACACCATTAGTGTAACCTTTTCACCTTGACATAATAAACTTAGCTAGACATAATTAAAGAAAGAAAAATAAATAAACAAAATAAGAACATAAATAAGATAAGAGTTAACAAAGCAAAGGAAAGGAATTGAAAGTCATAAACTTGATATTAAGGAAAGCAAAGTATAAACATTACAAAAAATACAAAGAGGGAAAGCAAGAGCATGATCTTGATCTGGACACCAAGATGCCTAAATGCATGGCAAATGCCTCCTTTTATAGGCCAAAATTGGAAACTATTGATTTGATGACTAATTAATGAGTGGGTGACCAACTTTTCACTTGGTGACAATCCTTATCTTCTCTTGTCTACCCAAAACGTCATTGATAACGTCAAAATTGGAGCCACTTGAAATCATGAAAGTTGTATAAAATTGTATTAACTTTCTTGTGTAAAACATTCAGCTCATTTGGACTTCTAGAACTCCAGATATGGCCAAAATACTGAGCAGTGCTTGGGCTAGAGAACAGATTCGGGCTTCTTTGTTGTTGCTACAATTTGGACTTGAAAATGGCCTTTTTAGATCTTGGGTTCCATACAAAAGTTGTAGGCCTATGTCTTACTTTTCCATCCATATAAAGTAGACCTAAATCTAAGATCTATAGCTCCAGATATGACCCAATTACCAAACAGTGTTCCGGTTTGGATTGCACTGACATCTTTTTTCTAATTTTAGCCATCTCTTTATCCTTTCAATTTTAGTTCTTAAATTCATCAATCAATCCTTTCATTTATATGATATGCCCGCATATAAAATGAACATTTACCACAAATTAAAGGTATCTTATATTATTATATATATTATTATAAAACATGCTTTAGTTAAGGAGTTATTGATACTTCAAGTGCAAAATGATGATATAAAACCTTGATAAAAATACATTTTTAAGTACTAATCAGCTGCACAACATAGATGGAAGATCTATCAACTCGATATAAAGTCAGCATTTCTGAATGCCTTCCTAGAAGAAGAGATCTATGTTGAACAACCACTTTGATACATTAAAGATGGAAATGAAGGCAACGTATACAAGTTAAAGAAAACCCTCTATGGTTTGAAACAAGCTCCGCATACTTGGAATACCAAAATTAACAGGTATTTTCAAGATAATGAATTTAAAAAATGTCTATATGAACACGCAATATATGTGAATAAAGAAGTAGAAGGTAGTATATTATTTGTGTGCCTATATGTTGATGACTTGATATTCACCTGCAACAATCTTATCATGTTTGAAGACTTCAAGAAAAGCATGGTACAAGAGTTTGAGATGACAAACATTTGTCTAATAACATATTTTCTTGGCTTAGAAATAACGCAGAAAGAAGAAGGAATTTTTGTATCCCAAAGCGGTTATACCAAAAATATTCTTGAAAAATTCAAGATGGAAAGCTGCAATCCGGTATCAATCTCAGTTGAGAATGGAGTAGAATTGAGGAAGAGTAAAGTTTGAAATGTTGATCCAACTTACTTCAAAAGCTTATTAGGAAGCTTAAGGTACTTGACATGTACAAGATCGGATATACTTTACGGAGTTGGACTTATCAGCAGATATATAGAGACACCAGATCAGTCTCACTTGAATGCAACCAAGAGAATTCTTCGCTACATCAAAGGAATAATACATGAAGGTATGTTTCATATCTCAAGTAAAAACTTCAATCTTGTTGGCTACTTGGATAGTGATTGGGGTAAAGATCTAGATAAAAGGAAAAGCACAGCAAGATTTGTCTTTTTCATGGGAGATACATCTTTCACATGGTCATCCAAGAAGCAATCGATAGTAATATTATCAAGTTGTGAAGCTGAGTATGTTACTGCCAACTCAGATGTTGAAGAATCCAATCACGTCACGAGATCTTGAAAATCCAATCAAGAAGAATGAGTTTAATGCGTGGGATTGATTTGAAGAAGATCGCTCGCTGAGAAGAAGAATAGTGCAGAGCTGAAGGTATTTTTAACCCCACGTCTATTTATCTTGCACCACTTGCTTTTTTTGAAGTGTTTTCGTATGTGTAAGTGATTATAAATCATGAAGACTAATATGTTGTACGGTTTTTGATTTCTTTCTCCAGTTATTGATCATGACTACTGCCATGGGGTTATGATTCTCTGGAAGTAATTTCAGTGTAAGCCCTTGGACAAAATGGACCAATTAATCAATTTTATTAAGTTAAAAGACTATTTAATTCGTTTTATAAAAATAAAGAGAGTAATTTATAATTCACTCAAGAAAATGCCAATTCTCACTCCTCAACATAGTTCATAATTGCATCGATCTGGGCAGATGTAGTTATCAGTACCTAAGTATTCTTGAGGGGAGTTGGTGGTCCTTAATTGTTCCTTCAACATTAAACAAGAAGTTCACATGCAAACAAATAAACATTAATTACAACAAAATAAGTTCCGTCTATGAAATTAATTTACAAAATAGTCAGAATTGAAACTATTTTAGGATATGGTAAATTTAACTTATTTCAATAATTAAAAAAGTTTGGAAAAATATTGTTCCCTGACGTATCATGGATACACTCATAGCTAGTGTGGATTTACTATGCTCATAAATTATTATTTTTAATTTTCCTTTTAATGACCTAATTAAATGCTAAATTAATTAAAATTATTAAAAAAAATAAAAGACTAAAATAAAAAATACAGGGAGATGTATGGTGTACTTAGACTTTTCGAGAAAATATTTAATTTATTTCTCCTATTTTTGAATAATAAAACTTGGGTTGCTCCAATATTTTTAGAAAAAAATTAGTTTTAACCTAAAATTTTATTTTATCAAGTTTTTCTTCTTTTAATTTCATCCTTTATATTTTGTTTTTTAATGAGTTTTTTTCATTGTTGGTTTCTTTTTTAAAAATTTTAATTTTTGTTAATATTTTTTATGATTTTTTTGTACATAATATTATTTAATTTAGTGTATAGCTTGTTTGTTTAATTTTTTAATTTGATTTATTTTAATCCTTTAAAATTTAAAAATAAATAAATCATCATTTGTTTTTTTTTTTTAAGTTCTGTTTTATTTGACTTTAAAAAAAATCTTTTCAGTAAGTACGATAGGAATCTTCAAGGAAAACAAAGGGTCCCGATCGACGGCTAAAACACGCGTGTGATCTGGCATTGAGGTGGACACCGACCATGAATTAAATTTAAAAGTATGTGTTGACTTTGTGGCCTAGCAAAAGAAAGAGAGAAGGTCGAATAAACCCCTCTTCGGGATACTGCTAAAAAAAATGGCGAGGCTTTCATGTTCTCTAATTCAATGTCTGTTCCCACTGCCACTACTCTTCAACTTGTTAATGATGTCAAGCCTTTTACAAACTTCTCAAGGTGATGTTGGCACCGCTGCCCAGTACAGCCCTCCATATTTACGTAAGTAGTCGTGTGCTATGTATGATGAACTCATGTGATCCAGGCATATTTCACAAACCGTATGATCACAAGTAAAGTATTTTTCTCTCTGACTTTGGTATGTATAGCCACGGCTTGTTACAATGACAGCGCGTCGCAGTTTCCGTCGAATAATATGTTTGCGGCGGCTGGAGATGGAATCTGGGACAACGGGGCTGCTTGTGGGAGGCAATACTTGGTCAGGTGTATCAGTGCCGCGGTCGCTGATTCTTGCATAGCTGATCAGGTCATTCAAGTGAAGATAGTCGACTATGCTCTAGAATTGATCAATAATCCACCCTCAGCTAGTGGCACCACCATTGTTCTATCGGAGACAGCTTTTGGGGCTATTGCAAATATTTCTGCAGACCCTACTTCCATTAATTTGGAATTCCAACAGTAACTCTCTCTGTGTCTCTCTGAATTTGATACTATGAAAATAATATGATTGGCATGCATCTTCATGGTTGATGGGGTTTCTTCTTCTCTTTTTGGAGGATGATTGCTCTTTCATGTTCAATTTAACTAGCATTTCAATTTCCAATGAGAGATGAGATGGCATAAGCAGTTTCCTGATAGTGAAGGATTTCTGTGTCTCCTTTCTAGGGTATGACACGAAGAGTGATGGTGCACGGCAAGCTGTGAAGATCGGGAAGAAGAGAGTGGATGATTGCATATATAGCATGTGTGAATTACAGTTCTTACAAGTTGAAGTGTATATGATCCAGCTTTGTTTCTAGCCACCATCGTACCTTTCATTCGTAATCTTCTTTTCCTTGCGTGCTCCAATGTTTTAGAACCTCTCGAGCTTTAACTAATCAACGTCGTTTGACGTGTCTTGCGTTGTCTTCTTCTATGCCTTGAATCACGGTTGGGCGTGGAGGTTTCAAATTTGTCTTTGGACGACGTTTCGTATGCAGATTCTTATGTAGTTTCCTGTAGTTTGATTGCTAAAATGTAATGTAATCGAGGACATGTGACTGTTCATTGTTGTGTTTAGTTGAAAATAAAATTTAGTAGTATTATGTTCGGTTTATGTTTAAAAATTCATTTGGATGTTAAGAAAAGTATTATTTTACCCTTACAACTCAAAATATCTCAATTCATTTATATTGGTTTTTTTTTCATTTTATACAAATAAAAAAGAATACAGCAACTTTATATTATTCATATTATACTAACCAATTTCTACAACATTAAAGTCATTAATGTATATAAATATAAGAAACTTTATAATGTGTAGGAAAAATACTATAACTTTTTCATATATTTTTTCTTTTATTTTTCTAAATTGATTTTTTTTTAATTTCTTAATTTTTGTTTTTTAAATTATCTTCGCTAATTTTTTAAAATATTGGACTGGTTGAAAATTTAGTTATATTGTTTTTTTCTTTAAAACATTGTGAATTGTTATAATATTTCACTATATAGTTTTTTTTTTTTTCAAACTAATCTTTGTTGATTTTTTTTTCATATTGAGCTAGTTGAAAATTTAGCTTTCATAATTTTTTCAAAAATAATATTGTATGTTGCTATAGTGTTTCTGACACGACTAAGAGATTGATGTCTTCTCCCAAGTGCATGAGTGTCAAAGTAATAAATAACCCGGCAAGACCGGGGTCTAACCACAGGGAGGTTATTTGTACAAATTATAAATAACAATAATACAACAACAATAACAATAACAATAACAACAACAACAACAACAATAACAATAATAATAATAATAATAATAGTAATAATAATAATAATAAAGAAAGAGAAGAAGAAGAAGATGATGAGAACTTGGAGATGGAAAATTAATGTAAGGATTAAACAATAATAATAACAAATGTCAAGGTTAGAGGTTCCACTAATGGTATATCAAACAAGTATAGTATAAACTCTTATTATTGAATTGGAAACCACACACAAAGGAGGTTTCAATCAGATTATATATTGTTAACATGATTACATTAGTCAACTTATTCAATTAATGCTAATACTTGTAAATCTCGTCAAGCATTCATGATTATAACTTATGTTAACAACAAATCAAGTTCCTTTCATAGCTCAGGTGTCGGTTATACCATACATTATGGGCTATGAAAGTGCCAAGCATTTGTTGTACCAAGTGTTATACAACATAAATCAAGATTAGTCATTTAACAAGCAAAGTATTAAAGAGTGAACAAGATAACAAATATAAAACATGTTAGTATCAAACATTAAAGTCCATATTAAGTTTACATTATACTTATTCTTACACCATTAGTGTAACCTTTTCACCTTGACATAACTAACTTAGCTAGACATAATGAAAGAAAGCAAAATAGATAAACAAAATAAGAACATAAAAGTTAACTAAGTAAAGGAAAGGAAATGAAAGGCATACACTTAATATTAATGAAAGCAAAACATAAACATTACAAAAAATACAAAGAGAGAAAGCAAGAGCATGATCTTGATCTGGAAAACAAGATGCCTAAATGCATGGCAAATGCCTCCTTTTATAGGCCAAAATTGGGAACTATTGATTTGATGACTAATTGATAAGTGGGTGGCCAACTTTTGACTTGGTGACAATCCTTATCTTCTCTTGTCTGCCCAAAACATCATTGATAACGTCCAAATTAGAGCCAGTTGCAAACATGAAAGTTGTATACAATTGTCTTAACTTTCTTGTGTACAACATTCAGCTCATGTGGACTTCTAGAACTCCAGATATGGCCAAAATACTGAACAGTGCTCGGGCTGGAAAACAGATTCGGGCTTCTTTGTTGTTGCTATAATTTGGACTTGAAAATGGCCTTTTTAGATCTTGGGCTCCATATGAAAGTTGTAGGCCTATGTCTTAGCTTTCTATCCATATAAATTGGAACTAAATATGAGATATATAGCTCCAGATATGACCCAATTACCAAACACTGTTCCGGTTTGGATTGCACCGACATCTCTTTTCTAAGTTTGGTCATCTCTTTATCCTTGCAATTTAAGTTCTTAAAGTCATCAATCAATCCTTTCATTTATGTGATAGACCTGCATTTAAAATAAACATTTACCACAAATTAAAGGTATCTTATATTATTAGATATATTATTATAAAACATGCTTTTTTGTTGGATAAAAAAATCCTAAGATCAAATTTCCAACTACTTATCTAATATTTTATTATTATTTTTTAAAAAAATATTTTTTTTTATTTTTTTATATTGAGCTGATTAAGAATTTAATTTTGTAGTTTTTTTATAAAAATATATTGTAGATTATTATAGTATCTCTCCTGCGTAGTTTTTGTTTTGGTACAATATTTCTCTACATGTTTCTTTTTAAAATTATCTTTGTTAAATTTATTTTTTTCATTATTCAGCTGGTTGAGAATTGAGCTTTAGCTTTTCCATATGTTTTTTTTTGTTTTTTTTCCAAAATTATCTTTTTCTCTTTTGTTTTATTTTTCTTTTTTTTGTGTTTTTTCAAAATTATTTTTTTTTAATTTTATTTTTTTTACTATTGAGTTGGTTGATAATTTAATTTTTTTAGTTTTTTTTAAATACTGTTGATTGTTACAGTGTTTTCCCATATGAATTTTGTCTTGCTACGGTGTTTTCTCACATATGTTTTTATCAAAATTTTTTTTTAGAATTGACTTTATTGAATTTATTTTTTTCATACTGAACTAGTTTAAAATTTAGCTTTATAGTTTTTCTTTCTTTAAAACACTATTGATTGCTACAATGTTTCCCCACATAATTTTTTTCAAAATTATCTTCATTAATTTTATTATTTTTAATATTGAGTTTGTTTAAAATTACAACTGTAAATTTTCTTATGAAATACTATAGATTACTATAGTGTTTTCCTGTATAATTTTTTTTCCTTTTTGTTTTTTTATATTTTTCAAAATTTTCTTTTTTGATCTTATTTTTTTTAATATTGAGCTGGTTAAGAATTACAATTGTATATTTTATCATGAAATACTATAAATTGCTACAATATTTTTCTAAATAATTTTAATATTGAGCTGGTTAAGAATTTAGCTTTAACTTTCCCCATATGTTTTTTTATTTTTTTTGCTTTTTTTTCAAAATTATCTTCTTTTTTTTCTTTTTCTTTTGTGTTGTTTTTTTTAAATTATTTTTGTCAATTTTATTTTTTTTAATATTGAATTGGTTGAGAATTTAGCTTTGTATTTTTTTCTTTAAAACACTCTAGATTGCTACAGTGTTTCCTCACATGGTTTTTTTTCTTTTTTTTATGATTTTTTTTCTAGAATTATCTTTGTCGATTTTATTTTTTTAATATTGAGCTAGTTGAGAATTTAGCTTCGTAGTTTTTTTTCTTTAAAACACTATAGATTGCTATAGTGTTCCCCCATATATTTGTTTATGATTTTTTTTACAAATTCACAATAACATACAAGCCCGTAGCATCGCGCAGGCATCATATCTAGTATTAGCTCAAAATATGTTAAGATGTTTGAATTTTTGTAAGGGACTGCGATTCCTTAGGTCAACAAAGAATTTAATCCCATTCCTCATTTTAAAAGGAACTAGGCTCGGGGCTTGCACTTTCTTGTTGGCCAGATCAAAAACTAATTATTACATAAAACAATATAAGCATTATTATTTTTTTTCCGCATATAATTATAAATATTTGATATGATTATTAAAATCTTGACTATTGTATTAGATTTAATTAATCAACCACTATATGCATTAATAACTAAATACAAAAGTTGGCATGACTTGTTTGACATAGTGGGTTAAAAACAAACTAGTCACCCTGTTTAAATAAAATTATAAAATTATTATAATTATAAGATTTATATTACATCAGAAAATTGTTCCTAAAAATTCTTGATTAATATTCTATTAAGACTGGATATTAATTAGAATTGTTGAGACTGATACATATTATATTTTTTTTAATGAAAAAAAGCATTTGCTCTCATAAAGTAAGGTATGAGAGGTACGTAAAACTAATATGTAGGTGTTTGTCAGATAATATGTATAGTGAACTAACCCACAAGAGATTTTCATATGAAAAGATCATTTTATGTCTATAGAAAGATTCACGTGATAGTTTTATAATGATCCTTAAACTTAAGATCACTTAATTATCTTATATAAAAAAATATTATGTTTTGATCATGACCATACATTGTCTTAATCAATGATAGCACATTGGTACATATTGGATATAACATGAACTATATAAAGGTATTTGAGTAATCAAGAACTGATTCACCACCCTATATGAATTAGAAAAAATGTTTATATCTATTCTCAAATAATATTGATTGTGAAATCTTTGGTTAAGGTAAAATAAATTTTGAAAAAAGTTTTAAAATCTTATTCAAAGAATCAATAACTATAATGTTTAGAATTAACATGATTTGACAAATCAAATATACGCTATGCTATAATGTCTAAATCAAAACATTCTTGATAAAAAAATAATAATTAAACTGAGAAACTAGTCACTAAAAAATTATGTCAAACCACTTATAACTTTTATAATATTTCAAGAATTAAGATAGATTGATAGCTATCGAGCTTGATCTCCAAATATAAATCAATTAATTATTGAATTGATAATAAGTTAAATTATTTCATTTATTTAATTTTATTTTATTTAAAATTATGATTTATATTTGAGTCATCTTATTAAGGAATTTAATAAATTACACATATAAGAACCATTGGTCAAAAATTATTAATTTATATCTATAGAAAGATTCACGTGATAGTTTTGTAAGTGATTCTTAGACTTGAGATCATTTAATTATCTTATATAAAAAGTGTTATACTTTGATTTTGACCACACATTATCCTAATCAATGGTAACATCCTAGTACGTATTGGATATAACATGGACTATATGAATATATTTAAGTAATCAAAAAATTATTCACCATCCTATATGAATTAAAAAAAAAATATTTCTATATATTTTCAAATAGTATTGATTGTGAAATCTTTGGTTAAGGTGAAATGAATTTTGAAAAGAGTCTCAAAATCTTATTAAAAAAATCAATAACTATAATGTGTTAGAATTAACATGATTTGACAAAACAAATATACTTTATGCTATAATATCTAAATCAAAACATTCGTGATAAAAAAATAATAATTAAATTAAAAAATTAGTCATTAAAAGACCATGTCAAACTACTTATAATTTTTCTAATATTCAAAGAATCATGACAGATTAATAGCTATTGAACTTAATCTCCAAATATAAATCAATCAATTATTGAATTGATAATAAATTAAATTATTGAATTTATTTTATTTTATTTTATTTAAGATTATGATTTATATTTGGGTCATCTTGTTAAGGAACCTAATAAATCACACATATAAGAACCATTAGTCAAAAATTAAAATTGAATGATTAATCAAGTGCGATTTTATTGTAAATAAATTTTAGAAATTTTGGACTAGAATGTAATTAATATATGGTATTGCAATTTTAAATCTAAAAAAGATCAAGTAGGGACTTGATTGAGTAAATTTTTAAAATTATCCTAAAATAATATATGTGATATTATTTAAAGGGCAAATTAATATTTTATTTATAAAAGAATGTTATACCTCTTATTTCTTATAAAAAAAGAATGTGAGATTAGTACAGTACATAAACACCTAAACATACAAAAGAAAAAAGTTAATACTCTAAAGTATAACAACTTCTTTTTCTTAAAAGGGTTAATCACATTTCTTATTAGTAGTTCGTATGGATTACCATTAGAGGCTAGATACTTATACGACTTGTAGTTTGCGATAACCTATTTTTAAAGGAAATATTCAAAGCTAAGAAAAACATCTAATTTTTAAATAATTTTTGCATAAACCCTAAAAAACTTTAGATTTGTTTACTAAGATTATCAGAACTCTTGAAAATTTTTAAATTTATTGTTTTTGTGGATGAATTTTTAAAAGTACTTTTCACTTGGAAATGCATTAAAATAATTTTTTTAAAAAAATTCATTCCTAACATCAATAAATTAAAACAATGAAAACCAAAAAAATAAAATTCATTTGAAGCAAAAAATTCAAAATCTTTTTAAATGATAGTTAGATTATAATGTCACATAAGTCCTTTGATAACGATAAAAAAAAAAAAAATTTAATTCAAAAGTTACTGGTATATTAAAAAATGTTAAAAATTAAAAAATAGCTAATATGTCTAGAAATGTGTTTTTTGGATTATTTTTATTAAAAAGTAAAAAATAAATTAAATTATAATAGAGACATATTTATTCTAAGATAATAAATAAAAAATAATCAAGGAGGATAAATACATTTATAATTCTGACGTAAAAACTTTTGTACATTTATAGACTCTTTATTTTAATTCATCCATACACTTTATTTTTCTTACAAATAACTCATGGAAATAATTAATTAAGATATATTTTTTCCTTATTTTGTCTCATCTTTTTAGATTAAAATTAGAGAAATAAACTAAAAAAAATATTGACAATAAATATATGATAGTATAGGAAAAAATAAACAGATAATATTTGTTTAAAATCACCTCAACTCTGATCTTGCCCATCTTTAGGGCTAATTGAAAGGATGCATGGATATTTGAGGGGAGGGCCAGTTTATTAGAGTCTTCTTTGGGGAGCACTACAGTTCTGAAAACACCTAAAAAAGAAGAGAAGGGAAAAAAAAAACATTTGAAACGTTTCAATCAATTTAGCGTTGTTAATATGTTTCAATTTATGAATCTGGGTTAGTTCAGATCAATGCTAGGGTTTGATTCAATGGAAGGGCCTGAAGTGCAGCAAATAGAATTGGGGAGGAGCCCAGAGAGTCACAGTGATTCTGATCCTCTGCTACCGAACCAGGCTGATAGCGAACCAAGTTCCATTCAAGAAATTAGTATTCTTAACGATGATGATATTGAAAACGGTTCTGTTCCTTGCTGCCGTATCTGTCTGGAAACCGATTGCGAAGAAGGTAACATTTCAAGACTTTTTTTTTTTTTAATGAAGTTCATGAGTCATCTTTGTTGTTTGTTTTATTTTTAATTTTGTCTTATTTTTATAGATGATGAAATTCTTAATTATTTTTCTAGGTGATGAATTGATATCTCCATGCATGTGCAAAGGTACCCAGCAGTTTGTTCATCGTTCATGCCTTGATCATTGGCGCTCAGTTAAGGTAAAGTAATTGCGGTACGTGTGTGTTTTTGGGTTTTGGGTTTATAATACAATTTTTTTCTGAATGAAAACCTAATCTAAATAGGAAGGATTTGCTTTCTCTCATTGTACAACTTGTAAAGCTCAATTTCATCTCCGAGTTGCTTTGTTCGAGGACAACTCTTGGCGCAAAATGAAATTCAGACTTTTTGTTACAAGGGATGTTATCATTGTATTTTTGGCTGTGCAAACTGTGAGTAATCTTACTTTCCTCTTTGTTGGCTAAAATACTTTCATCCTATTCCTATTAATGCACTATAACACTACTTTCTGCAATCTCAAGCCTATGTTTCTTCATATATATATATATATATTGGAAGGGTCAAGGTAATTTTTCCTTCTTTTTTTTTCACTTTATGTTCGAAGCCCATATATTTCCAAACTATAAATGTTTTCAAGGTCTTGCGTTGCTTCCACATCATTGCACAGGAATCACTTGATTTGCACAGCTTTTACTTTATGGTTATCATAAGCAGTGATAATGACGTCTTAATGTACTTTTCCATTATGTTAGAAAACTTGTCTGGAATGACAAAATAATTGATAAGAACTTGTCTGCAACTTTCTTTATGGTTATCATAAGCATGTTGATTTGCCTTTTCAATCCTCTGATTTTCAATTTCCAGTTGCTGATTTAACTTTTCTAAGCTTCCAGCATTTTGTGTTCTTGTTTCTGCTTCTTCAGATTGCTCTTGACCTTATGTGGCTGTTTGGAAGCTTCAAGTTGTAGTTTTTGCAAAACGGGTTCCTGTGTAGCTTTTTCTATATTATGCACTAGTTTTTCTTGTTCTTGTATTGACCCACGTTGTTGTTGATCTACCTTTGACACTTATGGGCTAGGATTTTCTACTTGTTGTCTGTGCTTTTTTCTGGATGAAGGACAAGTTTGGGACAGTTTGTAGTTGGCTGTTCTTGCTGCAAACATGATTGGGACCTTTGGTGCTCCACTTTTTGAATTTTCTGTTTACTCAAATCAGGCTGCATAGTTGTCTGTCTTTGTGTTGTTTCCTTAATTTGCAGATTTTCCATGAGTTGCTAGAGCATCAATAAACCATGAAATCTCATGCAGTAACTCATCCTGCTCATACCCTGTTAGGATGCTTCGATAGGATCTCCCATGATGTGAGAATGTAGTGGAGAAATAGGCTCGGCTGATGAAGGGGGTAACATTCGTAGTTGGCTGTTTATTAGGTTAGGTTGTAGAATTTAGGGCTTTAACCAGCAGAATCTGAGTCAAGCATCTCAAGTTCTTACGCACATTGAAAAACAGATCTGAAAGTAAAGAAATTGGAAAAAAAAGAATTAAACTTCTAGCCTTGCACTAAAAACAGAATTAAATCACTAAAAACAGAATTAAATCTCATGCAGTAACTCATCCTGCTCATACTCTGTTAAGATGCTTCCATAGGATCTCCCATGATGTGAGAATGTAGTGGAGAAATAGGCTCGGCTGACGCAGGGCAAATCTAGGGTAACATTCGTAGTTGGCTGTTTATTAGGTTAGATTGTAGAATTTAGGGCTTTAACCAGCAGAATCTGAGTCAAGCATCTCAAGTTCTTAGGCACATTGAAAAACAGATATGAAAGTAAAGAAATTGGAAAAAAAAAAAAACAGAATTAAACTTCTAGCCTCGCACTAAAAGTTTTAGTACTCACTCCTAGATTGAAAGCCTTACACTCTCACATAATTTAGCAAAAAGCTTCACTTCATTCAATATATAAATCTGTCATAATCTGATTAAAATGCTACAAGCATATATATATATATATTATCAAAATGTAAGTATATAAAAATGCTACAAGCATATTTATGTGCTTGGGTTATGGCTATTTCTAATTAGACTTGGATTCTTAAATAAGAAACACAAATATTCCTACTTGACTAGTAAAGGAAAAGCTCAATAAGAAATTAAATGTTTCTAATTATTCCTTAATAGCTAGCAATTATCCTTTTTGCAGGAAATTTACTGAAATTACAATCTGCTCTTGCTTAAATCACTAGGCTGCATCATCTATCTACTAAATGAAAACCTATATGTTCTATTTTTATGCCTGAGAAAATCTCTCTTTCAGGTCATCGCAGCAATGGGTGGTTTTGCATACCTTATGGACAAAGATGGGACCTTTAGGAATTCATTCAGTGATGGATGGGATCGTATATTGTCCAAGCATCCCATACCATTTTATTATTGCATAGGTAATGATCATGGTTTTTTCATTATTCAACTTGTAATTATTCCAACTACTTCAGGTGCTGAAGCATAGTTCCGCTGACTTATTGCTCGGATCAAATTTCTAATCTGAATCTCTAGTGCTGTCATGTATTGAATTAAATGCTTTTTAAGCAGCATCTATCAATTTCTGTAATTTGAAAGCATTTATATTTTATTTGATATCCAAGGTTACAAAATGAAGTATTGTTGGGAGGACAGATTGTATGAGTAGAAATATACTTCTGTGAGTTGAGAAGTCTGATTGCTCTTGCTGCTGAAATTTTATTCTGGTTTTTAAATGTCCAAGTGCTCTGAGCTGCATTTTTGTTGTATCTGCTGTTGTGGCATTTCTTTGTTGCTAAGGCTATATCTTTTTGGTTGATGTGTTAGTTTTTGCTTTTGCTTGCTTGGTGGCTGTTTTTGATTTCATCTGCTATGAGTTTAATCTTTATCTGGCATTTGGTTTTTAGGTAACCAAGCTGTTTGGTTTCTTCTGGGTTTGGCCTTGGTTTGTCCGGCATTTGTTGCTTTCTTTTGGTGCTAGCTATTACTTTGTAACTTATTTGTAAGCTTTTGTCTGCCTTTGCCTCCTTAATATGTTGACCTCTGATTTATCAAAAAAGGAGAGGAAGATGGGTGTAACTGATGGTTGTGGCACTAGGTTCATATGTTGTTTTCTCCTTCTGTATTGGTTGCTTTAGTTGCTGATTTCAGAATGGCATGCTGATCCTTGGCAAACAACCACCTAAAGTAGTCAATATTGTGATTGTTTTGTCTCACTGGTTTATTGGTGGTGCAGTGTTATTTGCTGTTTTTCTGTATGTTGCAAGGCAAAGCAGAAGACATCGCTTATTTTAACCCTTTTCCCTTAACATCCAGTTCAGCGCAGGATACTGGCTACTACTAAACTATTGTTGTCTGTGCTTTGTGTAAATGAATTGTAACAGGAGTACTGGCTTTCTTTGTGCTTCTTGGGTTTTTTGGCATCATACTACATTGCTCCTCCTTCAATAGTAACGATCCAAGGATGGCTGGCTGCCAGAACTGCTGTTATGGATGGGGAATTTTGGACTGTTTCCCTGCTTCCATGGAGGCGTGCTTTGCACTGGTTGTAGTTTTTGTCATCATCTTTGCCATTCTTGGAATTGCTTATGGCTTCCTTGCTGCCACCATGGCCGTTCAAAAAATTTGGCAGAGACACTACCACATCCTCACTAAGAGGGAGCTTACAAAGGTAAGCTCAGAATCCTTCTTGTTTATTTTTATTTCATTCCTGCTATACATTTGTTGTCTGAACCAAGCGTGGTGAGATCTTAACAGGACTTACCTTTCTTCTTCTTCTTCGCCCCCCCTCCTTTTTTTAGGGGTTTATTTATTTGCAGTCTAGAATTCAGAAATACTCAACTTCTCTAAAATTTTGTAGGAGTACATAGTGGAGGATCTACATGGCTCGTATACTCCAGCGAAATTGGATTCTGAACATGAAGAATGTCTGAAAATACTAAAGCTTTTATAATGATGAGTAGAGGATATGAACAAGACATGTTGGAATGAGTCTTAATTAATTAGTAGTTACTTGCTACTTTGTGTATTTGGAAAGAAGAAAAAAAAAGAGTAAATTATATAATGTCTTTGTTCCCTAAAAGTTGATCAGAGCAAAAGAAAGAGACATTTGTGCTCTCTTTCAGCCTTTGTCAAAACAATTGACTGACCTGAATTTCACTACTCTGTGTTATATTAATATGCATGGATCCCTGAAAGGATTAAACCACATGCCACTGGAATCCTGTTGTGTATTTCAAATATGCAAATGGCCTTGTCATCTAAATTTGCTAGTTCAGTCAACAGGATAGATCTGGATTCCCCACATTTATCCGATCCTTTTGACGAGTAGAAAAATAATGAAAAAGAAGGGTTTTTGATAGAGCAGCTGAGGAGTCCACATTATGGGACAGAACAGAGCTGCCGGCCGGCACTTGTGAAGTTGGTAATTCCGTTGTAAATTGTAATTGACAGAGTTCATTTATTTTTCATATAGTTAGACAATAAAGGTATCTTATAACGAGTTGTAAGATACAACTCCCTTTGAATCTTGTACGGGCATCGTCATCTCTCACATTCGTCCGATGCTGCATCATGGGCATTTTAGTGGGTGATTGATACATCTCCTTTTGAATCTTGTTCGACAGCTGTGTTCAGGAAAGGAAAACACAATTTTTATTTTTAACAAATGACAGATGAAATTAGTTTTTAACAAATGACAGAAGAAATTAGCATGCTAGCAGCTATTAATTCATCAAAAAGGATATGTATGGCTGTCCAACGGTAAACCACTGGCAGGGTTGGAATATTAGTTTGAAACCGTTTCTCTCTCAATTCGTAGACTATAAGAAGTGTCATCCGTTTTCATTTCCGGTTAGCTGGCTAGGTGTTCTTAGCAATTGATTTCTCCGAACATCATCAATCACGCCTGGGCTTGGATGCTCATTGCGTCCATTTTTCAAGGCTGTAGGTATGTGTGATAGAACAACATGGGTGGTTTTTCTGGAATTAAATAGTTTCATGCCTGAATTAATAAGAGTTGTTTTTTATTCTAGCAATGAAGAACTTGTTCAATTCCCCATTCAAAGGCATCGTTGAAGACTTCAAAAATAGAAAAGCATGCTACAACCAAGATTGGAGCAATGCATTGTGTTCCGGTCCCAGGTACATACGTTGCGTGCATGATCATTTTAACAATTTAAACTTCTTTTCTTTCATTTGCTTCCTTCCCCCCCCCTACAAATATTGGTTTTGATTGTTTCGATATTTGAATGTTTATGTCAGGATATTGGCTCCAACAACTTATATGTTCTTTGCTTCTGCTCTTCCTGTTATCGCTTTTGGCGAGCAACTTAGCAAAGAAACAGGTTCTTGCGTACTTCAAAGTATTTATCTGTGTGTTACGTCTCTACTTGTCACACACACAATCTCCCGAATGAACTTGTTTCATTTCTCTCTTCAGATGGAAGCTTTAGCACCATTGACACGCTGGCTTCTACTGCTATATGTGGTATCATACACTCGTTGTTTGGTGGCCAGCCTTTGTTGATCTTAGGAGTTGCAGAGCCCACTGTAATAATGTATAGTTATTTATACAGTTTCGCAAAAGGAAACAATGCGATTGGGAAAGAGCTCTACTTGGCTTGGGTTGGATGGTAACAAAATCCAACCTCTTGCTGTTCCTGTGTGTTTGTGTGCGTGTATGATCATAAACAATTCAAAATTACATATTTCTATAGTGCTTACACAACATATAAATTAAATTGAATTTGTGTAGGGTGTGTGTCTGGACAGCTCTCCTGCTCTTTCTTCTCGCGATATTCAATGCTTGCACAATTATCAATAAATTTACAAGGGTTGCCGGGGAACTTTTTGGCATGTTGATTGCAGTTCTTTTCATTCAACAAGCTGTGAAGGTATCTTCTTGATCAGGAATTTTAAACGAAATGTATACAGAAACAGCACAAGTACTGCTTCATCTTTTCATAAAATTGTTGTTTCAATTGCAGGGTATATTAGGAGAATTCAGAATCCCTGAACATGAAGACCCAAGTTTAGAAAAATATAATTTTCAGTGGTTGTATACAAATGGGCTGCTAGGTGTTATATTCACCTTTGGCTTACTATATACTGCTTTAAAAAGCCGAGGGGCAAGATCATGGCAGTACGGCACTGGTTTGTGAAAAGACTTGTGATTCACTTCAATAAGAACATCACGACTTTCATCTACAAAGATCTAATTTTCATCACCAATGCAGGATGGTTTCGGACTCTCATTGCGGACTATGGAGTTCCTTTAATGGTATTAGTATGGGCAGCATTGTCATTTGGTGTACCGGGGAAACTTCCTTCCGGTGTTCCTAGGAGGCTTGGAAGCCCTCTTCCTTGGGACACTGCACCCTTGGAGCATTGGACTGTAATCAAGGTAACGTCATGTAGATGTTTACTTTGAAACCCTTTTGAATCGCCCGTCCAGGAGGCTATTTTCTTCTTCTTTTTTTTTGTTTTGGAATGCAAATGTTTGTCACTTTTACATTGGTATAAACTGTACTTCTTTTCATATTAATTAATCAATAAATATAATTTTCTCAACTCACAATACACTATCCTCGTTTAAATTTCAGGATATGGCTAAGGTCCCACCAGCATACCTATTTGCTGCCTTCATACCCGCTGTTATGGTCGCTGGTCTTTATTTTTTCGATCATAGTGTCGCTTCACAAATGGCACAACAGAAGAACTTCAATCTCAGGAAACCATCTGCTTACCATTATGACATTTTAGTCCTCGGGGTTCTGGTATATAACCTAAATTCCTTTGCCTTCTCAACATGTATGCAACTCCCCTCATCTCCTAGGTGAATTCATCAGGTTTTAAACGTTTCTTTCATTGAACTATCCAGACTCTGTTCTGTGGATTGATTGGACTCCCTCCATCCAATGGAGTACTCCCACAATCTCCTATGCACACGAAAAGTCTGGCTGTGCTCAGTAAACAGGTTGGTTAGGCAAGTTTGTGCTATGTCCTAGGACAAAATGATTTTTTTAACAGTTTCAGTCTCATTATTTTGGAATACGAATTCAGTTGATAAGAAAGAAGATGGTAAAAGGTGCCAAGGAATGCATGAAGCAAAATGCCAGCAACTCAGAAATCTATGGCAAGATGCAGGCAGTGTTTATAGAAATCAACAGAACTCCACTGGTAACTTCACAACTTATGTAGAAAGGGCATCTATATCACTGGTTCCTGGGGCAAACTTCTGTAATCTCATCTTTTTTGGCAGTCAGTTCTTATCATGGCTTTAGTTTAGCATGCAGAAGTAAGAACGTGGTTAAAATTTGCTTCAATATTTTTTTAGCCCTTGATAATGGCGTCATTCTGTTGCAGCCTTCAGCAGCTAACGAGTTGAAGGACTTGAAGGATACGGCTATGAAAGATGATGATGGAGGCATTGCATATGGTAACTTTGATCCTGAAAAACATATTGATGCTCACTTGCCGGTTCAAGTTAATGAGCAAAGGTTTAGCAACCTTTTGCAATCACTTCTCGTGGGAGTATCATTGCTTGCCATGCCCATAATAAAGAAGATACCAACATCAGTGCTATGGGGATATTTTGCTTACATGGCCATTGACAGCCTCCCTGGGAACCAATTCTGGGAAAGAATCTTGCTGCTTTTCGTTACCCCTAGTCGATGTCATAAGTAAGTTGCACTTTTATAAATTCTTTCCTGTTAGGTCTTTAATTGTTTGGTATGTTGCTTGTGCATACATGGAACTCATGAAAACATTGGTTAGGCAAATAAAATAGGCATTAGATGTAATTTCACATGCTAATTTCCTCTCATTTTGAATCTTCTTCGAGCAGGATATTGGAAGCTCCCCATGCTTCATTTGTAGAGAATGTGCCCTTTAGGCATATTTCAATGTTTACGCTTTTCCAATTAGCATACCTTCTCATTTGTTTTGGAGTGACATGGATACCCGTTGCTGGGATATTGTTCCCCTTGCCATTCTTCCTACTTATAAGCATACGTCAGCATGTCCTTCCTAAGCTCTTTCACCCATTTTACCTTCATGAGCTGGATGCGGCTGAGTATGAGGAAATCGAGGGAGCTCCAAGACGTGGTGGTGCAGTCTCATTCAAGGTATGTGGGCTCACTGTCTTAATGAGTGAATTGCACAAGTCTAATTTCCACCTGTAGTTAATTCCTGGAATTCATTATCTTGTGGAAATATTTAGATTTAAGCTACCTTCTTGCTTAGTTTTTTAATTGCAAATATTATTGTTAGCATATATTGTTTTGGTGATGATCCTTGTTAACTCACATTATTATTCTTTTTTGCAAGTTCAAATACTTTGAAACCTTCAATCGTTTCATATTCTTTTCCCTGAATTCTTCAGCACTATAAAATTGATTTTACAAAAATTGAAAAAAATTGAATTGTGGTATTTTAAAAATCTTTTCAACATGCACAAAATAAGCTTAATAGTATATTATGTTTTAAGAATGATTTCAGTAAACAGAACCATATCTGTCAGTTATCTGCTTCTGAACGTATCTCTAACTCACTGCTTAGTAGTAGACTTTATACTAGCACTTTATGTTGCAGCAATATTTTAGAGGAATTCTGAACTTGAATCTCTGGGAATATTTATTAAGGTCAATTTCTGAGTTAAAAAGAACCACCTGTGATGTCCACATTTGCAGGAACGAAATGGTTCGGTTGATGGTATAGATTTAAGTTTATGTGATTCTGAGATACTGGACGAGCTGAGCACCAGGAGAGGAGAGTTGAAGCTTATATCGAAAAGCTTCGGTGATGATAAGATTTTTCAGGTAAGACCATTCAAAATGCAGTACAGCACTATTTAAGATAAACTGTAGTGCAGTGTCGATCTGATTAGATAAATTTTAAACATTTCTAGAAAGAATAGGATTTTCTACAAGTTGAAAGACAAGATGGATATCTGCGTTTACATGAACATGGGTTTTCTGCTCATAAGAAATCAAATCAACTAGAAGTACATTGATCAGAAGAGAATTGTCTAAAAACAGTAACAAGCGTTGCCCATGTAAACAGTCTCCTGAAAGTATAGTTATCTCCAACTTTCTCTATGAAATATGAAATGTTGCCCGAGCATGTAGACAATGTGTTGATTGTTGAAGACTGAGAAAGTGTTTTTGGCTTTTGCAGGTGCATCCTGGCGAGGATGCGAAAGGCGGT